AAAAAAAAATGCACAGTTGTTTTACAGGAAGATCTTTTTTTTTTAATGATTTTAGATCTTCTGCCAGCTCTGTATCTTGGATCTGCATAGTGTTAATTCCCAATCCTATGGCAAAAGATGTGGACAAATCTGTTTTTAAACATTGTAACTTTGAAATAGACTTTTCTTCCTGGAAGTAGAGTATTCAGTGTACCTTGCTTGTTTTGTTACAGGCAACAGAACATTGAGGAAAACATGACAATAGCTATGGAAGAGGCTCCAGAGAGCTTTGGCCAAGTAGTGATGCTTTACATTAACTGCAAAGTGAATGGACATCCTGTGAAAGCCTTTGTTGACTCAGGTGATGCTCCATCCTTGTGTGTCCCATGTCCTCTAACATCGTTACATGATATGGGAGAAGGGGAGACAAATAGTAAAGAACCATGGTGGCCGTGGTTCTTTGGTCTGCCACAAGCATGAAAGTAATGGTTTGCTTGCCAGTCTTCTTATTGGTAATAGGTTTATTTCCTAAACCATTTCTTTTGTGTTTTTGCATTGTATTTTATTTTCTTACTTTCCTGATTTCTCAGGCATTTCTCTAAAAAAAATGAAGACAGATCTGGGTAGGTGGGAGAAGAGGCAACTGCCTCTTGTCACCCTAGTTTGCTTACTTTAGGTTAGTAACTAACTAGGAGAAAGGAGGAAGGAAAGAGAATTGCCTTCCCACACATTCCTTTTCCTCTGACTCTGGAAAGTCTAATGAGTGAGATAAGTTCTGGACTTTATCGCTGAGATGAGATCTCAATAGGTGAGCTCAAGACGTGGCCCTTCCTTAAATGCAGGTGAACTTCAGAGAAAGAGCTTAGAAGGGGACACATTACTCTTGCCAAAGTAGACAGTAGCATAATGGAAATACGAGGCTAGAGATGTGCAGCAGCTGGTGTAAGGTGGGATGTAAAGCCATGGTGGTATGGGTTGAGCTCTTAAAAAGCACAAACCATTGAGGGCTTTGCAATACCTCAGAAGGTAAATGATTTGAAGGTGAAAGTTGAGGAAGACTGAGGATAGATACAGATCTGGAGCATTCTGGACCCATAAAGGTTGTAGCTGTTAAATTACACATCCACCAAATGGAATGGAAGCAGAGATGTGGCCACATTCAAGTGGTAAGAAAGTGCTAATTGGACCAATAGCTGTCGGGAGGAGGGTTCAGAAGTAGCAGACTGCAGAGACCTCAGTGAACTGTTTCTCAGCAGGGCTGGGTTAGAGTTTGAGAGCAGAAAGGAAGAAAGAAGAATAACAGCAAAGTGTGCCCCGGTTTTAGGATTGTCAAGAAAAGTCTTCCATTGGTAAAGATGGAGAAATCCCAAGTAGGAAATACTAGGGTCCGAAGTCTTTTATACCTTTGGCTCTCAGAAAGTTAGCACAGGGGGGAGAATTCAGAGAGATGAAAATTGTAGGCAAAGATTAGAGAAAGAGAAGATCTTGTCTATTACAGCTGAGTACATGGACCTGGGGCAATAGAAAACTGCCTAAATATTCCTAAATTTAGAAGGAAGTAGGACTGCTTATTGCCACGTAGTATGGGATTTTATTGTTGAGTCATCTGCTCTGGGGATTAATCTCAGTGAAAACTGCTCTGAGTGTGAATTGCTGCTTAGCATTGCTGCCAGGAGTCTCGTCAGAGTCTCATCATCTTAACATTTTTTTTTTGCTTGGTTGTGGGGCCTGAACTCTGAGCCTAGTTGCTGTCCCTAAGCTCGTAAGCTGATGGCTAGCTTACCGCTCTGCCACTTAAGCCACAGCACTACTTCTGGCTTTTTCTACTTATGTGGTGCTGAGGAATCGAACCAAGGGCCTCATGCATGCAAGGCAAGCACTCTACCACTAAGTCACCTTCCCAGCATCTGAACTTTTAGGAGGTCCCTTCCAGGTAGTTCTGCTTTCTATTCCAGCTGCAAATGTTAGGCAGAGCACTGGTGAGGAAATGCAAGGTGAAGAGCTACTATGTACAGACAGGCTTCATTCCAAATTCATTGCTGCTCTTTTAATTGCTGTGTTTTGGATCTTGATACAGTGTGAATTGTGATGGTTCTGTCTCCCTCCAGGTGCCCAGATGACTATTATGAGCCAGGCTTGCGCAGAAAGGTGTAATATAATGAGACTGGTGGACCGGCGGTGGGCAGGTATTGCCAAAGGAGTGGGAACCCAGAAGATTATTGGAAGGGTTCACCTAGGTGAGTGGAAGCCATTGGGAGTTGCCATCTAAGGGACAATGCCAGGCTCTGAGTTAAAAAACAAAAAAACAACAGTCTTAGACTTTCCTGTCAGGGCTAGTGACTTTCCTGTCAGGGGAGGTGGGGGGAAGTTGGTTGTGGGCTTGAACTCTGGGCTTGGGCACTGTCCCTGAGCTCTTCAGGTCAAGGCTAGCATTCTACCACTTGGACAAGCCACAGAAGCACTTCTGGTTTTCTGGTGGTTAATTGGAGATAAGAGTCTCACGGACTTTCCTGCCTGGGCTGGCTTTGAACCGCAATCCTCAGATCTCAGCCTCCTGAGCAGCTAGGATTACGGCATGAGTCTCCAGTGCCTGGCCCTCTGGTCTTATTTGTTTGTTTGTTTGTTTTTGTCAGTCACAGGGCTTGACCTCTGGGCCTGAGTGCTGTCCCTCAGCTCTTCAGCTCAAGGCTAGCACTCTGCTACTTGAGGCACAGTGCCACTTCCAGTTTTCTGATGGTTTATTGGAAAGAGTCTCACAGGGCAGGAGGCTAGGAATGTGGCTTAGTGGTAGAGTGCTTGCCTAGCATGCATGAAGTGGCTTAGTGGTAGAGTGCCTAGCATGCATGAAGGTTCAATTCCTCAGTACCACATACACAGAAAAAGTCGGAAGTGGCACTGTGGCTTAAGTGGTAGCGTGCTATCCTTGAGCACAGGGATGCTCAGGGACAGTGCCAAGGCCCTGAGTTCAAGTCCCAGGATTGGCAAAGAAAAAAAAAGTTACACAGACTTTCCTGCCTGGCTGACTTTGAATGGTGATCCTCAAGATCTCAGCCTCCTAAGTAGTTAGGATTATAGGTGTGAGCCACTAGCACCCATCTCTCTGGGCTAAATTTTTTTTTTTTTTTTTGGGTCCGGTTGTGGGGCCTGAACTCTGGGCCTGGACACTGTCCCTCAGCTCTTCAGCTCAAGGCTAGCACTCTACCACTTGAGCCACAGTGCCACTTCTGGCTTGTTTCTTTAACTACAGTTTCTTCAGATCTCAGTCCCCTGAGTAGCTAGGATTTATAGGCATGAGCCCAATGCCTGGCACTAATTCACCTCTTTATCCCTTTTTCTTTACACTTTGTAGATCTCCTCTAACGGGGTATTTTGATGTATCTGGATGTGGATCTTGCATCTGTGTGGGTGATATTTGATAGCCTTTTCAATCTGGAAACTATGGCCCTTCAGTTTCTGGGGATGAACCCTGGGTGGACCTAGGTACACATCAAGTACAGTCTTCTACTGAGCAGTCGCTCCTTTCCTTTTCCCTCCCAAAGGAAGGGTAAAGAGCACAAGAGTCAGTCAGGACCTCATGGTGTCTAGACAGACTAGCCTTCTGCTTTCACCATTTTGTCTCTAGTTGTACCATAAATTACATTCTTTATTTCTTTTGTCTCTTCCATCATTTTTGGTCTTAGCAATTTGTACCTTATGGGAGAAAAAAACATGTGGCTGGGCACTTGTGGCTCATGCCTGTAATCCTAGGTACTCAGGAAGATCACATTCAAAGCCAGCCTAGGCAGAAATGTCTCTGTGACACTCTTTATTTCTAAAATAACCACCAGAAAACTGAAAGTAGAACTGTGGCTCAAAGTTGCCAAGCACTAGCGTTGAGCGAAAAAACTTAAGGACAGAGCCCAGGCCCTGAGTTCAAAACCCATAACCAACAAAAAACAAGAGGTCTGGAAATACAGCTTAATGGTAGTGTAAGCACTGGATCCTATTTCCCGTACTGCAAAAACTACAAAAATCTTTATAACTTTTTAGGAATAAATATCCATGCATGTGTTTAGTTCTTAGTTTTTTGGGTTTTGGGATTTTTGGTGCCAGTCCAGGGCCTGGGTCCTGTCTCTGAACTAGCTCTACCACTGGAGCCACAGCTTGACTTGTGGCTTTTTGGTACTTAATTGGATATAAGAGTCTCATGGACTATCTTATCTGGGCTGGCTTTGAACCACAATCCTCAGATCTCAGATTTTTGAGTAGCTAGGATTATAGGTGTGAGCCAATGGCAAACTATTTTTCAACCATGCTAGGGCTAGAACCCAGGATTTATGAATGCTAGACAAGTACTGTACAACTAAGGTACATCTCTCTGATCCATGGTGAGTTCAAGTCTTCATTGGCTTTCAAACTGGTATTTTACTGTTTCAGTGTTTTGTTTGGGGGGGGGCGCCTTGAACTCAGGACCTTGGTGCTGTCCCTGAACTTTTTTGCTCAAGGCTAGTGATAGCTTTCAAACGGGCCTTTTGACTGTTTCAGGGAGTGTGTGTGTGTGTGTGTGTTTGTTTGTGTGTGTGTATGTGTGAACATTTTTGCTCAAGGCTAGTGATCTACCTACTTGAGCCACATCTCTACATCCAGTTTGACTGGTTTTAGGTATCTAACCTACTAGTTTCTGAATTGAGATTTGGCTGTGATTGAGTGAAGGAAACCAGGGCTCAGGATGATGGGTTCACTTCCAGAGCCATGAGTAATCTGTTCTCTTCCTGTGTTTTAGCTCAGGTTCAGATTGAAGGAGATTTTCTTGCATGTTCCTTCTCTATACTGGAGGAACAGCCCATGGACATGCTTCTGGGACTGGACATGCTTAAACGGCATCAGGTGATTAAGAATTTTATTTTTTATATATCTGCTTTTTCTGTGTTACAATCACTACATTTCTGTTGGTGTTACATACAATGGAAAGCCAAGATGAATGACTTTTCAAACCTGTACAAGTGTCTTTTGTCAATTTTGTCATCATACAAAGATGGAGATGATGTGCCATTGAAAAATAGAATCTAAGGTCTGGGAAGGTGGCTCAGTGGTAGAGTGCTTGCCCTGTATGCATATGGCCCTGAGTTCGATTCCTTGGCACCACATAAGCAGAAAAGGCTGGAAGTGGCGCTGTGGCTCTAGTGATAGAGTGCTCACCTTGAGCTGAAGAGCTGAGGGACAGTGCCCAGACCCTGAGTTCAAGCCCCAGGACCTGCAAAAAAAAAAAAAAAAGGAATCAAGCAGGTTGAGTCAATTTGCAGGCACTGAGTTCAAGCCCCAGTACAGCCAAAAGGAATAGCTATATAAGACCTGAATTCTATAATTTTATACTCAGGAGGCTGAGTCCTGTAGGATTGAGGTTCGAAGCCAGGAAGGGCAGACAAATCTAGGAGATTCCACCTCTAGTTAGCAAAAATGCTGGATTGGATATATGGCTTGAGTGGTAAATACCAGCTATGAGTAAGAAAGCTGAATAAGAGCACAAGGCTGTGAGTTCACCCCAGTACCAGCACATACAAACCAAGAAAAAAAGTTGACAAGACTCCATGTTGAGCTGGGCCCAGTGGCTTACCTCTATCATCCCCAGCAACAGGGACAAGCAACAAGATTGCAGCCCAGGCAAGCCCAGACATAAATCAAGAATTCTACCTTGGCCAGGTGCTGGTAGCTCCCAGCTATAATTCTAGCTACTCCCAGAGGCTAAGACCTGAGGATCATGATGTAAAGCCAGCCCAGACAGGAAAGTCCATGAGACTTATCTACAGTAAACCACTTAGAAAAAGCCAGAAGTGGCACTGTGGCTCAAGTGAAAGTGCTAGCTTTGAGCACAGAAGAGATTCAGGGACAGTGCCCAGACCCTGAGTTCAAGCCCCAGGACCTGCAAAAAAAAAAAAAAAAACTACATTGAACACAGCTAGTTGAGAAAGGGGGTGATGCAGACATGGCTTAAGTTACGTTATTTTTCACAGGTAAAGCTTAAGTGTTTCTGGGGAATTGAACTCAGGGCTTTGTATTGCTAGGCTGATTCTCTGTCTGTAGAGTTACACCCCTGGCCCCCTTTTGTTTTTCTTCTTGTTTACTTTTCACATAGGGTATACTTAGATTATCCTAGACAGTGATCCACTTACATAAACTTCCCACAGAGGATGACAAGGTACATTTGATTAAGGACTCCATCTCCACAAATAATTAGAAAGTATATTAGTTTGTAGTGATATTTCTATACTGAAGCCTATGAATTTAAGATTCTCTGTGACTTGTAATTTTAAATCCCAGATCATGATTTTTCTGTATTCTTCTTTCTAAGTGTTCCATTGACCTCAAGAAAAATGTCCTGGTGATTGGCACCACAGGCTCACAGACTACCTTCCTTCCTGAGGGAGAACTACCAGAGTGCGCACGCTTGGCATATGGAGCCGGGCGAGAGGATGTGCGGCCAGAGGAGATTGCAGACCGAGAGTTAGCAGAAGCCATTCAGAAGTCAGCAGAGGAAGCAGCAGGTATTTGGAATGGCCAGCCCCTTGAATAATGTTTGTGTTACCAGAGAGGGAAAGGACCCTTCTAGTCAGTAATGTATCATTCTCAGTAGTAGATAAGGCTTTTGTTTGTCATTTTTCTTTCTCCTCTCATCACTTAATACTCAATGTCAGCATTTCAAAAAGCAGCAGTCCATTGCTGTGACCAGGATAGATGGTGGTATCCCTTTCTTGGGTTTTCTCAGACTTGTGTTTTTCCCCACAGGAAGTTAGAACAGTAAGCAGACACTTCTGAGTTCAGCAGTTATTTCCCTGAAAATTGCTTTTCATTTTTGTGAACCCATTCATGCTGAAGAGTACCTTGTCACTGGTTAAGCAGTGCTGGCTGTTATAAATTTGGTGCAAGTGCTGTTGCCCCAAAGCGGGAAGAGCCAGCAATAAGAAGCATACTTGGAGGTAGGGACCAGTGAATTCTGAAGATCGAGATTCTAAGCTAGCCTGGGCAGGAAAGTCCATGAGACTCTTAACTCTAATTAACCTCCCCTCAAAAAGCCACAACTGTAGCACTGGCCTTGAGCAAACAAAACTTAGGGACAGTGTCCAGGCCCTGAGCTCAAACCCAAGACTGGCATGGTATACACACACACACAATGAAAAGATGTATTGAACATAGTGAGATGTAGATTTAGATTGCAATACTGTTTTTGGGCTATGGAACAGTGTCAGGTAAGTCCCAAATCTAAAGACAGGGCCAAATCTCTGGGTAAAATGGCCCAACACACTTGTGTTGGAATCCTGTTACAGAACAGTGACTGAAATGCATTTTCTTTTTTTTTTTTTAATTTTTTTTGGGGGGTCCAGTTGTGGGGCCTGAACTCTGGGCCTGGGCACTGTCCCTCAGCTCTTCAGCTCAAGGCAAGTACTCTACCACTGAACCACCTTCCCAGCCCCCTGAAATGCATTTTCTAAAGCTGAAAAGAAATAACTTTTTTTAAGTTTGAGTAATTTTAAAGTCTTGAGCCAGGCTTATTATTCATCAATATGACTAAGCTCACACATTGCTTTTTTTTTAATTGTAAAGATACTATACAGAGGGTTACAGTTACATGAGTGAGGTAATGAGTACACTTCCTCTT